GTAAAGCAGCTATAATCAAAGTGCCAGGATACTACACTACTAAACCTACCAACCAGAAAGAGCATTGTCTGAATATAAGCATACAAATGTAAACCTGAAAAATATTTGACGAAAGTAAAACATACAATTTTCATCTCAGCAACTATCACAAAGCAGGCGTATATGAAAAGAGCACTCCTGGATTTCTGGGATCAGATTTAATTTCATAAATGCAGGCACTGTTTTGATCACGATTTGGAGAAATCAGATCAAAATGTCTTAAAATGTCAACGGTATCCCGAGAAATGTGGGATGAGATAAAAATACAAACTGAGAGGCATCCGTCAAAGGGTCCTTTTTGCAAATTGGCTTGAAAATGCACATTTTTTCATTCATCTAACTTTCTCAAATGTCTATTTACTATAATTTACTACCACAAGGCTCCTGGATGGCCTTCGGTGACAAGTTTAGGTATCCAGGTTTCTTCAAAGAAAAAAAAAATCCGCCTTGTATGTAAAATGGTGCAATGCAGCAATGGCTAAACCGACAAGGTCATTTTTTCTACAGCCCGGAAAAACCTAAAAGCTGAAATTTATTGCCCGAAAAACTGCAGTTGACAGCAAACTCCCCCTCGAATGTGGGTACCTTACCTTTGAGCCTGCTGTAAGAGGCCTAAGTCAACTCAACTTTCATAAATTGCTACGAAAAAATCAGGGTGTGGCATATTAGCAAGCTCAAGGTCACGCTTTAAAAAAAACACGAATCCGAATTAGTAGAATATTTCAAACAACACAGACGGCTACCGCTGGCCTGTCAAGGTGAACAGTGTAAGCTGAGGTTTCCCCAAGAAAAAAAAAAGAGAGAAAAAAAAGGAAGAAAAGTTGAGAGCTTCATACCTCGATGCATTGCTGTGTGGCGAACTGTCCTCCTCTTGGCTTTTGTCCTTATTTCTCATCATCTTTTAATTCTTAAATATTAAGGGGGAGAGGGGAATCTGTGTTTGGCTTTGAAGTCCTGTGGCCAGGTTATTTACTGTCAAAAGTTGAAAGAAAGGTAAGGTCCCGGCTTTTCTAGCGATGGTTTTTATTAAGCAGGCACAAAGTCCTGACCATGCCACGATATTGTTAGAACACGACAGCGGTAAGCACCCGAAAAAACAACATATTTCTAGTTTTACCTTTAAAAAAAAAAACACACACCAAAAGAACAGGGGGGTGGGATCATCTCATATCAATACGGAAAGTTTCTCCAAAGTAACAACACTGGATCCAAATACAAGCTCTTTATCTTATTGCGTCATCCAGGAATGTCTCCTCTTTACGAAAAAAAATAAAAACCCGCTTTCGCCTATAAAAACGATCACTAAATGATCGTGAACTTACCTGATCCATGTAGTCGGTCCAGAGCCAGAGTCCTATCCGGTAAGTGGCAATACACCGGCTCCCAAACAATCAAAAGCGAAAATAAAATCCTCCGCGAAAAGAAGGAAAAATACATACAAAGGACCCTCCGATCGGGGAAGGGGTCCCCCCTCCAAAAAAATAAAAGCCAGGATGAATGAAGAAGGAGCGGGAAGGGGGGGAAGAGAGGGGAAAAAAAAGCCTCATTAGGAGAGCGCACAAAAATGGAGGTGCGCCATGGCTTCTAAGCTGGAAAAACAACGACCTGGGCTTTGCGTGCGGCTGCTTCTCTCCAGCAAAGGCACCGAGGAAAAAAGCCCCAAAAAGGTTCTTTTCCCCCGAAAAGGGGCTCGGATCGACCCCCGTGGGTGTCTAGGGGAGGTAGGGGGCCGCGGGGGCCCCCCGGGGCGGCCCGAAAGTTGGGGAAAGTTGCGCAAAGTGAGGGCGAAAGGCAGGGAGCAGCCTGCGCGCTCCTCTCTAAGGCACGGCCGCCATGGAGAGCCTCCTTCCCAGCTCTGAGAGCTGTGCCTTTGATTGACACTCTCTACATTTACCCCACAACTCAGGTGATGTACCATAGACCCACCCCTTCATCTCCACCAAAAAAAAAAAAAAGAAAGAAAGAAAGAGAGAAAAAAAAGATCTCTCCATGCCAGGGAGTCAAAGGACCCCACATGCCCACACCTCCCTGCCCCTCCAGACCACCCCATCAGGGGAGGCGGGGGAGGGCTCCTTAACCCCCACTGGCTCAGGCACCCTTTTGCAGCCAGAGAGAAATGGAATTTGGTGCCTTTTGTCTCAAGATCTGCTCCCTAGTTCAGTCCTGGGGCTGAAATAACTTCCTTTCTGGGCAGGAAGTGGGGTTTTAGAAAGCCATTTTGATATAAAAAAAAGGGATCATTGTTGGGAAAATGGAGGCTGATCTTCATAGGGGACTTTTTAATAAAAAACGAGCCCCACCCAGGATAAAATGATTTCTAAAGAAAAAGCAAAAAATGTCCAATCTCATAAATGAACAAGTGTGACTGCTTTAGGAAGGCTGAAATTGTCTAAAGACCCAATGAGAGGGCATTTTCCATCCCAACTGGTAGAGGGGGTATAGCTCATGAGCGCCTCCCTAGTGTTCAGTTGCAGTAGGGCAAAAATTAACGCAACTCGTTTTTTTATTCGAGCATCTCGATTTTTTCTTTTGTATTTTCACAAATTTCTTTAACCCATTCCACAACCTTGCAAACTTTACACCCCCTCCCCAGATCTCAAAGTCACAATATATTTTCTTCCCACATCGATTCGGGCAAAATCAAGTGATGAAACTCAAGAATATGGAACTACCATTGTCCCTTCAAATAAGGGATCCAAGAAACTGGACCTCCGAATCCAACACGACACATATACCCCCAACTCTCCCCTTGTACTTCAAATCAATTTCTGAGTATGTTCAGATTTTTGACAATAATTAAAATAGATCACATTTGACAGCAAGTTATCAAAGTAATGAATGCCACAGGGCAAATTCTCCTAAATATCAGAACCGTAACATCCACGGAAAACAAAATTAATACTAATGCCAAAAACAAATCGTTCAAGACTATTTCTCTCAAAAAGCACCCAAGAAAATAGTCACGTATCCAAGAAAATAGTCACACGCCAAAAAAAGAAATCAAATAAACTTTCCCTATTCGACATGATAATCTTCCAGAACAATGTCCTTTTCTCATTGATGACATCCACTTTCGCTTTATACCCAACAAAAGCAACAAGTTGCATCTAGGTCAACGTAAAAGCCATACTCAAAACCCAGTTTCAATTCCTCGCTTTCTACACAACGTAAATTTGTACCAAAATCCAAACCCAAAATTCCGCTTTTGATATATACAAACCAATCACTTCAAACACTGCACATGTATGGATAACCAATATGTGTGCTATAGTATTTGACATTAATCACAAACCACAGTATGATTAGCTATTTTCTCTCACACACACACACACAAAACACATAAGCTGAACTTTCCAGGTATAAAGGGAAAATACCAACAATTGATTTGGTTTATCAAAATAAAGCCTACCACCCATTTATAAACTTAGTATCAGTTGTTTATCAATAAAATGCCAGTATTCACCTGAAAATCAAATATAAGTCATTTGTGACAAGGTGTGATTTATTCTAAATTCCTAAATGTAGACAATAAGGAAAATACAGAATCTTCCTATTTCACATTTACATAAAGTATATTATAGACAATATTGCTACCCACATTATAAGGTCTTTTATGAATATCTTAAAGGACACTTCCCTAATAAATCCAACATTTCTTCCCCTAACATTAACTAAAAGACAGTAAGAGGCAACTTTTGTTCATCTTGCAACTTTTTTTGCAAGATGTTTTATTTTCAATATTAAGTGCAGATTCAAAAGACCTTTTCATCAACACAAAACTCAGAAAAATACAGTATCCCTCATCCTGAATTTTGACACAAAATGAATTTTGTTTTGAACGCTCATTAAAATCATGTGGCAAATTAAAGATTCTATTATTACCTATTAGTTGGTCATTTTGCAAGATATTTGAGAAAACATAAAACGGCATTTCTTAAAGCACAAATAAATTTCCACGACTTGTGGAAATAAATCTTAATCAACGAAGTGAAATATTTCCCAGCACACCATTGCCATTTTACCAGCTTTATTCAATACACTTCACTGCTGGACACTGTAAAGGCCAAATTGTCATTTACGGCGATAAATGAACACTTAATGTAACGACGCATCAGCTTAAAAAAAAAAAAAAAGCCCAAACTGAGAAATTTTAAAGCGTTAGAAATTTTATTAAAGTTAACATTTCACAAGGTCATAGTCATACAAATCAAACTGAAAAAATATTCCAGGCGTACAAACTATCATCTCTGTTAGCGTGCCATCTTTCATCTCCAAATGTCAAAAATGGACTTGTTTAATGATACAAAAAGTCTTTAGAAAGTCAAATCCACTGTCCATCTGTGTTGGTAAGAAACCTATTGTCTTCGTTTCATTTCATGAAATCCATGTTAAAAGAACCCATGTAAATTATCACAGCACTCTTGTAATAATCCATTCTCCTCTATTCCCCACCGTGGACTGCCATCTTGGTTTCTCAGTGGTAGGGTCCATTTGAGACTCTTCAAGCTTAAAAGAAAAAAACGCTGTTGGAATACCAATCATCTGATTCCTTCACACAGAAAACATCCACCCACCTTCAAGACACTCTTACCATACACAAAGCTCTAATTCTGTAACAGCTTTCAACTAGGAAACTCTCTTGTTTGAAGTTATATGTACTACACACACAACTTGGCAATGAGAGAATCAGACTGTACACAAGTAACAAGTTCTTTTACTGTCACAGATACACATGTAACCATAAAAAAAGTAGCAGTAGCCTGGCTTGCTTAGTGGTTAAGCATGAATCAGGCCATGGTTTGATTCCAGGTCAGGGCAAATGCCTTGGTTGCAGCTTCAGTCCCTGGTTGGGGGACGTGCAGAAGGCAACCAATGATCTTCTCTCATCATTGATGTTTCTCTCTCTCTCTCTCCCCTTCTCCCTTCCTCGCTGAAATCAATAAAAATATATATTTTTTCAAAAAGTAGCAGTAAAGAGTTAAATTTTTACTAGTTAAATGTGATACTGTTTTAGTTTCTGTAGAAGACAAAAATTCAAATTCAAAAATCCCAGAAAGCTAAATTACAGCAATACTATGGATTTTAAATGTCAATGAAGAACTTTCCAATCTTCTTCAAAAAAGACAAAACACACACACACACACACACACAAAACCAAACTAATTATGTAAAAGAATCCTAGGGGATAAAAGAAAACAAAGCAGTGGATCAATCACAGCATAGTTTTCCAGTCCAATAGATGTTAATTTTACTTAGAATATTGCAAATAGACAATAAAAATGCCTCTATTCTTAGCTACATATCTGAGAATGCTGGAAATATGTAGCCACTAGGGTAAAAATAAATAAATAAATAAATAAATAAATAAATAAATAAATAAATAAAAAAGGCAAAGTGTCAGCTTGGCTTATTTGATATTTGCCATTAAATGCTATTCAGATGGCAAATTATATACAAATAAAATACTCCTACTGCCAAAATATCAAATGTTTCTCAGAGAATGACAAATATATTACTCAACTACTTTGAATGAAAGGGATAAGTGGGAAGCCAGGTGATGTTAACATTGAATAAATAATCCTGATGAATCAGGACAAACATAATTGCAAATATAAATTTTAGTCTGGGCCTCCTCTGTAAATTCTGCAGCTCTCAAACTAAATTTATAAAGTCTGGGTGACTAAGAAGTTATTAAATATAATAGCATTTTTGCTCATTAGGTAGTTAATACCTTGTATCCTGAACTATAATTAGAATTTGTTGTCAAGTATCTATAATCCATAATAATAAAAGCATAATATGTTAATTAGACCAGACATCCTTCTGGACAAAGCCAAACCGCTTGCATGAATTTCATGCATTAGGCCTCTAGTATACAATTTAAAAATCTACTTAATAAATTATTTAGTTAACCAAGAAATACTATCATCTATATTTTAGAAAACTACTCAAAGTGAGTGTTAAGAAATCAGTAATAAACAAAAGTATTTCTCCTTATTTTGCCAATTTCTCTCCAGCCTGAAACTTATTCATTCCCCACATTAGTAAAATATCTTCCATCTGAATTGTTCATTCCTTTATATTAAGGGATATACATTTCTATATAGAACTATAAAAATACCTTCATTCCTCTTGCAGAGTTAACTATAAACCAATTTTTCCCCAATCTCTATTGTTTTGATGCAAAATCAAGCTCTAAATGAAGTTGGGGAAGTAAATACTATTATGATGAACAATGAAACTAAAGCATTGATATCAAGTTACAATCATTTTGATGTCTATAAATGCAATTTATTCAACTGAGTTCATGAAATGGTAAATCAATGCTCTATAGTCTTCTGCTTCAGAATAAGAGGTAAATTTATCCAGAAAAAATTTCCTTTTAAAGCACATTCTTTAAATTAAAAAAAAAAAGCCTAATGAGATTAATATCATTCCAAAATTACTCAAAATCATTAGTTTATAGACACTTCTATAACATTAAAAACCATGATCAATCTGTATTCCTTAAAGTCAATCAAAAGCCAAAAGTAAGAATGTTTTTATTAAGTAAAAGTGCTCAGTCAAGCCATTCATTTTCATGGAATTCCAAATTCTTACAAAACCTAAAATTGCTAATAAGCACGGTTATGTTGAAAAATTACAAAAAAAAGCAGGCAGGAGTTCTTTGAGCCTAGAAATATTCTTGGTGACAAAATTCAGTTCATCTGTGAAATAGTTAAAGCAGTACCTACCTCTGGCAGCAGTAGTGAGGCTTAAGTGAGATAGCATCTTTATAGTATTTACATTACCTGGCATATAGAAAGACCTCAATAAATGCTAGCTATTACTGATATACCACGATAGTCACAGACTTGGAGATCTATAAACCAACCTTACTAAATTCATATAACTTATATTCCAATAGTAATGAGATCTCAGAAGAATCCATAGAATCATGGAGTCAGTTACTTAAAACACTTTCTGCTTTAAAAAATTTTTAGTGTTGCACTAATATGACATCAGTACAAAAAAAACTGAGTGGAGTTTTGATATCAAAGCCTATTATATTACTCTATGTCTCTCCAGTAATGTGTAAATGGCTATAGACATATTGGAGAGATGATGCTTTGATCTAATTTGATATCAAAGCCTATTATATTACTCTATGTCTCTCCAGTAATGTGTAAATGGCTATAGACATACTGGAGATATGATGCTTTGATCTAGAATAGCATCATCAAAGAGACCCAGATCTTTTGTCTATTTCACATAAAAGGTTAGCTTCAAGCTCATACTATGAAAAGTTAGACTTTTCCACTATGATGTTCACTAGTTTATGTCTTTTTTTTTTTAATATATATTTTATTGATTTTTTTACAAAGAGGAAGGAAGAGGGAAAGTTAGAAACATTGATGAGAGAGAAACATCAATCAGTTGCCTCCTGCACGCCCCCCACTGGGGATGTGCCCGCAACCAAGGTACATGCCCTTGACCAGAATCGAACCCGGGACCTTTCAGTCCTCAGGCCAACGTTCTATCCACTGAGCCTAATGGGTTTCGGCTTATGTCTTCTTTTTAAGGAAAATTGCTTTTTCTAAGGTAAATCCCGCAAGCAAAGGTAAAGGATACTACTATACTAAGAAAACAGGAATTGCTACCTCTTAAAATTCACGAATCCTGTACATCCAAAAAAAAAACAAAACATAAAATTAAGGAGATCTTCTGTTTCAATTCCGATTCAGTAAATTTGTTCCAAAAACACTGAGGCATTGTAAAATAAAGCATTGTTAACTCAAATGCAAGTAAATGGTTCATTACAGATCTGAATTTAAGAGGTACTCCCCCAAAATAAGTAATCTCCTTATCTCTACTTCCCAGCCCCAATTTCTGTGGGGTACAGGAAGAAATACAAAGACAAAGAAGTGATTAATGATTCTTAATTTTAAAAGCAGGGGACTCTAATAATGCCACAAATCACCAAATCATCTTAAAACTGAAACACTTATTGCAAAACCAAAGGAACAGATGGATATAAAATTATAATGCAGAACAGAAACTGTTATTTCCCATCATGTAATTAATAAAGTTTTGTCCTTGGTGTTTATGGCTTGATTTCAATATTCTATGTATTGGTCTTTAATATGAAAACATTTCATAGAAAATTCATATTTTGTCTCACTACCCAGTAAGAGCTCAAATCCTTCATAGGATTACAGTATATTAACAAGTCCAGATCTTGTCTTAGCAGGTTTGGCTCAGTGGACAAGAGTGTCAGCCTAGGTACTGATGCTCTATCAGAAGAGTCCTGGGTTCAATTCAAGTCAAAGGCAAATGCCAGGGTTGCAGGCTCGCTCCCCAGTAGGGGGCACGCAAGAGGCAGCCGATCAATGATGCTCTCATTATTGATGTTTCTCTCTCTCTCTCTGAAATCAATAGAAATATATAGTATACATTTTTTAAAGTCTGGATCTTAATAAAGTGGGCATAAAAACTAACTACAAAATGATCTGAGAAAGACCAGTCAACTGTTAATTGTGATAATTGAATCATCTTCAAGGTCTTGCAATCAAATGAAATCTTCCCTATTGCCCCTATTAGTTTAATAGTCAACTACATGTGTTTAAGAGATTGAGAGTTATAGTTTTTTTCTCAGTTTTCATTATTACTGAGTCCAAGGTTTTAGCTTTCAGGCACACTGAAAAAATAAAGTATTAAAACTAATGTTTCAAGAATGAATTTGTTTGTTTATTTATTATACACAAAACACTAGTTGATAATGTTTAATAGACACTACATAAAATAATAAATCAATAAGTATTTATTGAGCATCCACTATATGCCAGGCAACTAATCTCTTCAAAATATTTGGTAAGACAAGGTCAACAATTGTACTATATTAGGAAAGTTTTCATCTCTGTCCTCAACACTCCCATTAAAAAAAAAAAAAAAGAACATTATTTTGCAGGCCTTAATGGCCACTTATACAATGGAAGTTGAAATAATAATCAGAATAAAAAATTATCTAGAATCTAATTTCCAAATGTGATTCAAAATAAGTGTATTTAAGAAACAGTTAGTATGTAATCATCATATGTAAAATTTTTCCAGTAATAAATCCTTTGGAGAATTCATCCAAATTCCATTACACAGCCTCACCACTAACTTGTTTCACACTATTTCCCAGGTCGGGAGTTGGAAAAATTGCTCCCATTGTATTTGTAACCAAGTCTTCTAATATCAGAGCATATCCCCAATGTCAGAAGAAATTATTATTAAACTTTCAAAAAAGGGAAGTTCAGGATTATTTAATTTATTAGCATTACTACAATGAAATCTATTAGAGAAACCCAGGGCTTCTGATTTCTACATATGTAAGGTCAAGTTGACAAGATGGATCTAGGACAATAGAGTAAATATTTTAGGGTTTGTGACCATTAACTAAACTATTCTTAACTCTGCGGTTGTAGTGGAAAAGTAGACACAGATAATGTGTGAATGAAAGAGCAGAGTTATGTTCCAATAAAACTTTATTTAAAAAAAAATTGTGGGCGTTTACTAACACCAGATCTAAGCATGTTCAAAAATGGGTTTCTCTGCATTGTACATCTTGCCTCAGTTTCAGTGAAGGAAGTAGGAAATAATAGGTTAGAATAAATTAATAAGCAAAATTTAAATAACAAACTTCACACACACACACCTAACCATGCTGTTTTTATTTTTTTGTGTTGCTTTGAGCGTCACTAAATCCCTATGTATTTTTATAATTCTAACTCAAGTACTCAAAATTTCCAAAGTTGTATTTAAGATTAAAAACAGGCAAAACATGTAAATTGAGTAAACTTACTAAATGCTTCCACCAACATCTATTACGTTGTACAGGCCCTTTAGAGATTCAGTCTCAGGATTCCCATTTCTGCAGAAAACCAAAAGAATATAATTTTATGCGTAGAAAAAAAAATAACAATAATACAATAGTATTAATATGCCATGATTTAATCAGAAATATCTTGTAAGGATCACTCGCCAGAAGACCAAGACACGTGTATGTATATAAATAAAAAGATAAAAGGTTTCACTGCAGAGGATCTTAAATTTGGCTGTACAGGAGGCTCACGTGTAAAATGAGTTACCATAAAAAATGTGAATGTCTAAATCTCTGTCCCCAAGAACTCCAACAGAGAAAGCAAAAATTTGGGCTTCCCCAGGTAGACCAAATGGACAGCAAGAGTTGAGACCCAGTTGTTTAAGTAGAGCCAACATCAGTACTTAATAGAATAAAATTATTTTATCTTCTGGTCTTTCATTTGTCTACATTTAAAAATTCTAAAGGAAAACTTGAATAGCTTGCTGGGATCAGCCCACTGTGGGGGCGCTGTTCATCCCAGTCAGCCTAGCAGCTCTCCCGTTGTGGGAGCACACTGACTACTCACTAGGAGACATCTCCTGTATTGAGCATCTGCCCCCTGTGGTCAGTGCGTGTCATAGCAAGCGGTCGACCGGTTGCTCAGTCATCTAGTCACTGGGCTGTTATTATATAGAATATTACTTTAAATTATCATGTACTTATCACATTATCATGTACACTATTCAAAGGTCAAGTGTTGGAAAGGAATCTTTAGGCACAATTTCTAACTATTTTTACTAATTGTACTGATCTACTCAACTCAAATCTTTTCTAAAATACATACTTGATAACAAAAATATCACTAGTTAAGACTATCATAAACTAAACATGGAAGAGTTGTTTCCGATGTTTATCTTCTGAATATAAGTTAAATACTATTTTCAGTCACTCCTGCTCCAAAGTATGATTATAATAATCACAACATGTTGACCTACCGCCCAAATAAAAGCTGTTTAGAAGTTTAGCAGTAAAGTATAGCAATCTAAAACTTTTTAGAAAGCGAAAGCACAGTTTAGGATTTAAGTTAAACTTAGCTACCCAAATGCTTTTCCAGGCTATGATTTCAAATTTTCCAATTATGCAGCAAGTTCCTGATTTTCTTACCAAGTCTAAATCCCTTTAATCATTTTGACTAATCAATCAATACAGCAAAAGTCGGCTTCAAAATTACCTCTGAGAGTAAGGTGCCAAATATCCTCCCACTGGGTAATAAAGCAATTTACAAGGAACAGAATTATTTATTTGTAAGCTTCCAATTTAGTTAAGACTTTATAAGGAAGAGAGGATTTTCTGAATTTTAAATCAACCAATTAAAATAAATTGATATAACCCCTTAGAGAAGGGTATAGCTGATTTAAAGAATACCGGTGAAAGAAATGTCACATTGGTCTGATAATGTGCTAATACAAAAAGCTACGGACCAATATAAGTATGTACCTCTGGGCTTAGCCTCCACCAAATATAGAAAAGGATTGGGATCTCACTTTGTGCTAACACAAACATAATCTATCATATTGGCTCCTTCTCAAAAATTTACGCAGTCACTGAAACCGGTTTGGCTCAATGGATAGAGCATCAGTCTGTAGACTGAAAGGTCCCAGGTTTGATTCTGGTCAAGGGCATGTACCTTGGTTATGGGCACATCCCCAGTAGGGGGTGTGCAAGAGGCAGCTGATGGATGTTTCTCTCTCATTGATGTTTCTAACTCTCTATCCCTCTCTCTTCCTCTCTGTTAAAAATCAATAATATATATATATTTTTTTAAATTACGTAGTGCTTTGCACCTTCCTTTGAAGAAGCAGCCAAGATTGGCATAAGCAGACTATACAAGTTGATAATTTGGCTCTTGTTCCTACCTATCTTTAATATTTTGCAGTATTATAGATTCTCATTGAATATGAACTTATAGGTGCCATGTAAATAACCATTTTGCTACCTGGGCTTTTTATAATAAAAGGCAAAGATAGTTTTGGTCAAGTCTTATATTATTATCATTAGTCCATTTGTGCTTTTCTTATAATATTCGAGCTTGTCATCTTTTAAAACCCTTCAAACAATTAACATTGAAACTGAGAATAAGATCTGAGAACACTAAGAAATATGAAGTATCTTCCACAAAAATAAGGTCGTGAAAGTCATTAGAAAACTGCCACAAGACAACTCACAAACCATTAAAGTTAAGCAAAATACTGAACATGATAATCTAGATTAAAATTATGATTACTATATAGTACATATTACATAATTTATTGTTTGGGAAATATTTCATTTCATATAAATGGCTTAGTTTCAAAAGCATAGGGTTGTTTTTCAAAAAACAAGACTATCTAGCTTTATACTATGTTTAAATCAACTATATCAAATTTTTATAAAGAAAAATGCTACTTAAATGCTATGTAAAGACAATCATTTAAATTGTAATGGTTAATTTACATTCAGAAAAAATAACCAATGTGAAAATCAAAAGTTAGAATTAAGCCACTCAATCTGGAAAAGGAAGGTAGCTGATAAAACAATGATATCTAAATATAGAAATTTCTTACGTTAATTATGCCAGGCATTATCATTTATAATCCCAATGATCAGCTGCCAATGTTTCATTAGATAAAGCAAACATTTTTTAATGTAGAGACGGAGGGAGGAGAGAGAGACAAATACCGATTTATTGTCCTACTTACTTATGCATTCGTTGGTTGCTTTTTGTATGGAGATTGAACCGAAAGGTCCTCTGACCAACTAAGCTACCCAACCAGGGCCTAAAGATTAAATATATTTAATCGAATAATCATTTTCAAAACTCCAAATAATGCTTTTTACTATAGCATTCTCTTAATTGTTTAAAAACAAATTACGATTAATTTTCCAATGTCTTCGTATATACTGTTTATTAATATCTGGAAATTCCTAAAATTAAGAATGCCGGGGACACGATTGTACGGGTCTGGTCTTATCCAAATAGTTTCACCATAGAACTGCGTAATTTGCGATGCAAAAATTATAAAAACTATTCTCCGCTTTTTGTAAGAGAAATAGACACTCCTATTATTTTTATAGCAGAATTTAAGAGCTAAATGGTATCTTAAGAGATAGGAAACTCAATACTTCGTGCCAGCAAGGTGTACACTGAATAAGATGCCAACATTACAGGGCTAATTTACTGCTGAATCTCAGTTGTATTTTCCTCTCTAACACACACTTCTACCTTTCATTAATGCAGAAGATAGAGATGTTTTCAAATTATCTTTGCCTCTTACGTTATGTCTCTCAACAAAGAATAAAAACAGACAGGAGAAAGAGTAAATTTATTAGTGGTCCCAGTCCCGGTACGTTAATATTTAAGGAACTGAGAAACAGTAAATTAACCTTGAAAAATGTTTATATTCAAAATTATCTATTTCCCATAATCTAGCTTCTAAGTGTTATGCCATGGCTTAAAAAAAACTTGTAATTAACTATAAGCATTCTTTCACTTGTGTGGAACTTCATGTAATTTTTTTAAACAGTTATTACCATGATAACAAACATAAATCCAAACTAATCACCAACTTCATCGGGTGTTTTTTTTTTTTAAATTCAAGAATTGGTTAAAAATGCTCAGTTAAAAGTAAATATTTAACATTTACTTTGATCCGCTAAGCAGAAAATAGCATTTAACTAAGTAATTTATTTTCCTAATGAAATATAGTATTTTAAAATAATAGTAACTACATTTATATTTGTCTTCAATGTGCCCATTATTTTTGTCCATCAAACTTATTATTGCCCATTATACAAGCTTGGTTCAAGCCCCAAATAACCAAACAATGAATATAAGCACTATCGTGAAGGTCAGCTCAAGTACATGAAAACCTTCTTAAAATGTAATCTATTATAATCCTTTTATCTTGTTGATGATAAAGGGAGAGTTGAATTCCGTTAGACTGGAGTAGAAGTTACTACATCGTTTAGATTTTTCTCTACATACTAAAAAAATAAAAATCTTCCTTTAACATTTCTAACCTTAAACCGTTGTTCATTTATTTTATGGGTTAAATTGCACCTATGGTAGGTCATTATAAATGTATTGCCAATTTATATTTAAGCTGACGTCATACTTCACATACATTTGTCTTAAGATGCCAAATTCTCAAATTTTGTATCTGAATGACAGTCATTTGCATAGAGGAAACTAGCATGGGCATTTGTGTTAAAGAGGGTTGGGGTACCCCCAGCTGGTGTGGCTCAGTGGATGGAGTGTAGGCCTGCAGACTGAAGGGTCCCGGGTTCAATTCCAGTCAAGGGCACATGCCTGGGTTGCGGGCTCAATCCCCAGTAGGGGGCGTGCAGGAGGAAGCCCAGCAATGATTCTTTCTCATCATTGATGTTTCCATCTCTTTCTCTCTCCCCCTTCCTCTCTGAAATTAATAAAAATATATAAAAATAAGTAAGTAAAATAAAAGCTGTTGTGCAAAATATGTTACTAAAAAAAAAAAGAAGCTTGGGATAAAAGATGTTTTGAATATTTTGTGTGGCATCTTTTCTCTTTAAAACACTGTAGTTAAAGGTGTAACATTCTGTTTTTTCCCCACATACGAGAAACACAAATTTGATCAAATTGCAAAGGACTGTAAAGAAAAAATTAAACCAAAGCAAAGGCAATAAAAATATTATCTTTATTACCTATTTGAATCAATAGAATAAGCAAATAACGAGATAAAAATATTTTCCACATAAATTTCAAGGACAAAGGTAAACTTGCCCGAATAATGCTAATTTGGCTATTGTTAGCATTCCCCAAGATATTTATTATTATATTTTCTCTGTCAAACCCTTACTAATATCAGCTTGACAATAATTTTCACATTCAGTATTAACTTACGAATAAAGAATATTTTCTGAAAATTATCAGTGGACACTTTTTTCCACTCACATATCTACTTTTAAGATGTAAAATTATGGTATGCTTACTGGAAATTACTTCTCCATTTTACGACTTAAAATAATACGGAGGTCTCTTTGGATGCTTTATTCTACTTTCCCATAAATAAGTCATTTTGTATTTGTTTGAAAACTCATGAAAATGTTTTGTTTTGTTTTAATGGACTATTTAAAATCCATTAAGTAGCAACTAGAATATGAAGTTTTCTATTTAGTTTTAGAAATATAGTTAAGAACCCTAAGATCTGCAAATGCAAAATTCTAGGCCATTTCTAAAACGTGATCAGTATCATGTACGCTTAAGATCGTAAAGGTAATTTTGATGACTCAACTACTGATTAACCTGCAGCACTATTTTATTGGAAAGTACTTAATATCATACTGTTCTGACAGAAACTACATGTATCAACTATTTCAATGTTAATATGAAAGAGTTTTGATGTAAAGAAATGGCATTTGATGGGCTTTTTCTCATGTTTTCAAGATAAAGAAACAGACTACCGTTTGTTTCATTGACAAAATTTACTGATATTTTCCTACGTAAATTGTGGTAGGCACTAAATTTTAGATGGTGGGTAAAACATTTACTTACTTGCTATATAAAATACAGCCTTCTGCAAAGATTTCCTTTATTGTCAGATATGAAACTCCACGGTCTCAGTCTTCAAAATGGTTTCTTTTGGGGGGGAAAAAATATTCTAAGCAATTTATTGATATAACAACCAACAGCAAGTAGGGATACGTGTTTTACAACTTTTTATTACGTAAAAGAAACAAACACTAAAATCTACGCTCACAAAATTTGATTTTTAAAATGTTCTTCCCCGAAATCTATTAGTAAAAATAATAACTAGCTCAAATTTTCCAATAAATGTATTTATTTACACATTGAAAAGATTAAAACTGTTTGCAAAGTGTATTAGGAACCTAAAAAGAAAAAGTCTATCTTTGGTTCCTGGTTTTCCTAAAAATATAATTAGTCTTTTTTTGTTCCCCAAATTAAACAAAGGCATAAAGGATTCAAATTATAGTACCACTGAGTTACAATGGCCATGCCATATATACTTTCTATCCAATGAAAAGATTTAAAGGCTTTGTAAAATTTTCCCAGATATTTACTCTGATTCGTAATCATACTTGCTGGAAATATAAATTCTCAAAGAACAAAAACAAAACCTAATAAGCTTGTTTTTTTATGTCAAAGTCATAAAAATTTACCCAGTCTTACCTCAAATAAAAGAGCTGTATTTGTTCAGAACCATCATCAACCAAATTTTATTTTAATCTTGTAAGTCACCTTAAAAAAAAAAAAAAAAAGGAAGATATCAACGTTTTGATTTTTAAACATTTCTTGGCCTAACTTTCAGTATGATGAAACAATGAGAAAAAAATACTCAATCATCTATGGATAAATGGAAGGCAGCTCATCTACCAATACCTGTACATTTTAAGTTGCTTATTTCTAATTTTAACATCTATCAGTCTTTTGTTTTCCTCACCTTTTGGAGGCATAGTCTAATACTTGTAACTAAGGCTTTGAAATAAAATTTAAAAAAATACAGAAGATTTACATCTTTGGACAGATTTAAGATTATGACCTTGTATTTCTCTTTCTTTTTTTGATGACAGGCAATACAACAAAAAAGGAAAAGTTTCCCATTTTCAAAGACTCCGATATTAACATTTATTCCTCCTATCATCTAAGGATGCCTTTTAAAATTATGAGTAATTAAAAATAGACTCTTCTAGGAGAAATGAGTGAAGTTTAAAATGGCCCCTGGTGACTTTAAATTTTAAATTCCAAGTTATTTGATCTCACCAAGTGGATTACTAGCTTTGTCTTGGAAGCAAGTTTCAAACATGTAGTATCTATGACATTTATTCCATTTCAAACCGGGGTCTCTGACACTTTCAGTCTCTCCCTTCCCCCATTCCTTTTGTAAAAAGACCTTATGAGGCAGAAAATGCCAACAATTATTTTGCATTTCACTAATTCAAAAAGGATTCTAAAATACCAGATTCAGAGTATTCATTTAAAACCACTTTCAGCATCCAAAAATGTTCATTTGAAAACAAAAAAAAACTGGTACCTAAACAACAGAGTCTATAAATTCAAGATATGCGCAACTGATGCAATATGTAGTTCTAGATGAATGCTATTCAGAAATAAAGCAATTTTACCGACAAAAACACCTTCTGGAATGCGCTCGATCGCAGCAGTTCCTGATCTTATAAGGACTGGGGGAGATTTGGGTAATTTACCATCAGTATCCTTTAGGCAAAAACCTGTACTTTACAGCACACACACCGCAGAAGGAAGACAAATAATATTCCAAGATACACAAAGGTTTTTTTTGCCCTTGCGGTTTGTGCAAACTGAAACCTTAAAAATTCCCTCTCAAACGTTTCTCTCCAAATCCGTAAGGCAGAGAGGACTGCAACCTTTCTGAAACCGATACGTATGAAAAACGCTGCCCCGTGGTAAGAATTATCTAGATGTTCATGCAATGCAACAAATGCAACCAATATGGCTCCTCTTTCTCCGTCCATTTACCAGGGAGCGATCCCACTTCAATATTTACCCTGCGGGAGAGAAAGTAACTTCCAAAAGGAGATCGGGGGCCCCAAATAACCCCCCTTTTTGTAGAAGTTTTGTCCACCACGGCTGGTGAGGACACAAATGATCGTCCTTTATTTTTCAAATCGTCAAACGATGAACTTAAAAACTTTTTTTAAAAAAAGTCTAGGAACGGACCCAAGTGGACGATCTAACATCCAGGTGTGATTCAGTTCCAAGATAACGGCTCCGGATGGTGACCTTTTTTTCAAAAGTACCAAAAAAACAAACAAAACGGTGTCTTTGAATCATCATCCAAATACCAGAAAAGCCGGATAAAACTCGGCCAAAGGCAAACTAATGGGAACCAGACGTCTTCCATCGCCCTAGCCCCGGCTTTAAAAAAAAAAAAAAAAAAAATCTATTCCCATCAAACAGCCTTGACATTGCAGAAAACTTGCCTTCCCCATTTTTTTGAAATATACCCGAGTCGCACTCCTCCTCCTCCAACTTGTATTTTTTTTTTTTTTAAAGACAACCTTCACGTCATCAAGATTTTTCATCAACGATCAAGCCCCTTGATATCTCCGCAGCCCCATTTTCAAAAAATCGGCTTGGAAAGAGTTAAGAGCCAACACCCAAAAGGAAAGAAAAAAGAAAAAAAAAAGTTTTATTTTTTTTTTTTTCTTTCCCCGTAGTCAGGCTTCCATTGTTCTTTTTGAACTCCATCGTTCCCACCTTCCCGGAAAGAGGTGCAAAAAAAAAATAAAATTAAAATTAAAAAAAAGCTCTCCCATAGGAGAAGCTGGAAAAAAATAAATAATAAAAAGGATCCTTGGACCCTCGACATCCAAATAAACTCACCGGGATGGAAAGGGGGGGGTTCTGCGGTCCTCGATGCGGGGGTCCCCCACTCTTCGGGCTCCCCCGCCTGCGGGTTCCCCCGCCGCCGCCCCTTCTCCCTCGGCGGGGCCCCCGATCCGGGCAAACGAGGCCGATCTCGACCCCCCCTCCGAGCCCCCCCATCGCCCACCGCAGGGTCTGCAGCGGGGTTCCCCCCCCCCCGGATCCCCCCGGCCCTGGGCCCCGGCCCGCTCGGGGTGGGGGTGGGGGGGCCTCGAACCTACGACGCCGACCCCGCAGGGTTTGCATAGAGGCCCAGCCCGCTACCCCGTCCTCCTGCTGCTCGCCACGTTCAAGGACATTTTGCTTTTCCTCCCAAGGACAAAGGACAATAAAAGGGGGGCCGGGGAGCTACTCACCCGCTTCCGATCGCAGCCGCCGCCGCCGGGAACCTCGATGTGTCCCCACCGCGCTGGGCCTGGTCGCCCGCGTCCGGGGTCCGAGCCCCGCCGCCGCCGCCGCCGCCGCCGCCGGGACCCCGGGGAGCGGCCGCGGCCGCTGCCGCAGAGGCCACTTTTCCGCAGCGTCGCGGGCCCGGCGGCCGTTTCCGGGGATCCGATCCCCCCCCAACCACCACCACCACCACCACCACCTCCCCGAGCGCGAGGTCCATCTCGTCTCGGCCGCCGCGGCCGCTTCGCCGCCCCCTCCTCGGGCCTGCGAGGCGGCCCGGGCGGCGGACGGGTCCCGCGGCCGCGGCGGAGCGCCTGACAGCTCGCGGAGCTGCAGCCTCTCCGGCCATCTTGTGCCGTGTCTGCGCGTGTGTGTGTCTGTGTGTGTGTGGTGTCTCTCTCCCGTCTCCTCTCTCTCGGCTTTCCTCCCTCCTCCTCCTCCTCCTCCTCGTCCCCCCCGCCCCACACACCACACAACATGGCCTCTTCGCAGCGGCTGCAGCAGCAGCAGCAGCGGCGGCGGCGGCGGCGGCGGCGGCACCAGCAACTCCGCGGCGTTGCCAGCCCGCTCCCCTCCACCCGCCTCCCGCCCGCAGCCCCGGATCGCAGTGCGCACGCGCGCCGCCGCCCGCCCACCGCGCCCATTGGCTCAGGCGGCACGCCTCCCCTTATCCCCGCCCCCCTCCAGCGTCCTCACGCACGCTCGGGGGCGTCTCTCTTCCTCCTTCACAACAACGGCTTCAATACTATTGGCTCGTTATGACACCGCCCCTTCACTTTCCCCACACCGATAGGCTGGCCTTGGTGTCATTCACGGAAGTGGGCGGGGCCCGCGATTGGCGGGGGATGGAAGCTTGGGTTGGAAACAGTTGCTCGGCGCCCCGCAGTGCGGACCCCTCAGGGCTGCCTTGGGGAGGGGGATTCTAGCGCGGTTGTCCAGGCCCGCATTGCTGGTGCAGTGACCTGGAGGTAAGCGCTTCGCCTCTGGAAAAAAAACCTCAGGATTCGGTGCTTCTGCTTTCAGGTTTTTGCTTTTTTTTTTTTTTTTTTTTTTTTTTGGAAATGGATAAAAAAATGACTGACAGGATGACAAGCCAACACGACGACGCTGCAGGTGCATGAGGCAAGCAGCCATATCTCCTCAGCGACTGACAGGACCCGAGGTTTTGCATCCAAGCAGCCAGCCCCCCACCCCCCACCCCCATGTCCCTCGGGGTCCCATCTGACTCGAGCTGCTTTGACTGCAGGGTGTGCGAGCTTCCTGTGGCCCATTCAGAGGAGAAGGCCTGTTGGGGGGGTGTCCTGGGTCCGTGAATCAGGATCCCATAGTCCTGGCTGGCCCCCGAGGTCACCCTGTAGCATCACCCCCAGGTTGAGAACCGCTAGCAGGGGTCATCGCCTAAGACCATCGGAAAACACAGATATTCATAACAGTAGCAACATTACCGTTATGAAGTAGCAACGAAAATAATGTTATGGGTGGGGGTCACCACCACATGAGGAACTAGACTGTATTAAAAGGGTCGAGGCATTAAAAAGGTGGAGATCCACCCATCTAGGGCAATATTTGTCCACTGGGCAGTTTGAAGCTTGAATGATCAGTCTTCTCTTCCCCATCTTGTCTCAGAGAATGGGGCAAAACAGAGTTTGTTTCCTTGAAGGGTATCTCCCATTTTTTTTATTTTTATTGTTATTTTTTTTTCATTGCTTCTTCCTACTTGGTCCTGGAAGTGCCTCTAGGCAGACCACAGGAATATCTGAAAACCTAAACTTCCCTCTGAATTGAATGGGAAGAGAAAAGGAGGTCTCTCTCTCTCTCTCTCTCTCCCTCTCTCACTCCCTCTCTCTCTCTCTCATTGTTAGCATTTTCAGAAAGGCACCCCCAGCTACTCTTCATTTTTGACAGATTTTTTTTTTTTGAAGGGAGGGATCTTGAGGCTAAGTGAGTGGCTTCCTAAGTTCTCTTGAGGCCCCTACACCTGGGTGAAAGTCGAAGGGTGTGGAATGCTCCTAGGCCAGTGGTCGGCAAACTCATGAGTCCACAGAGCCAAATATCAGCAGGACAATGACTGACATTTCTTCGGAGAGCTACATTTTTTTCAACTGAAACTACTTCTAATGCCACTTCTTCAACATAGACTCGCCCAGGCCATGGTATTTTGTGGAAGAGCCACCCTCAAGGGGCCAAAGAGCCGCATGTGGCTCGCGAGCCGCTGTTTGCTGACCACCGTCCTAGGGCCTAGAAACTAGTTCTGGCCCCTTCTTTTTATTTATGTATTTTTTATTTTTATTTTTATTGGATTTCAGAGAGGAAGGGAGAGAGAGATAGAAACATCCATGATGAGAGAGAATCATGGCTGCCTTCTGCACATAGACACACACACATCCACCATTGGGGATGGAGTTCACAATCCAGGCATGTACCCCTGACTGGGAATTGAACCCTTCAGTCCGACGCGCTATCCACTGAGCCAACCAGCCAGGGCCTGGCCCCTTCTTTTTAAAAGGACACTGTTGTTCATTGACTTGTCTCTATACCGCATCAGCTGCTTAGGGCAGAGTGAGGACTAGGCCCCCGACATAGATCTTAGGTACCTTCTGTATTCGATTTGTGCTCTCATTTGAGCGCACAAAAGGATGCTTCTTTAGCTGAAACTGAACTTTCTCCATTTCATTTCTAAGTGTCATTCCCCGCCTGACACCATGGGGAACAGGTAGACCAGCAAAGAGGTTGTTTCGCCAAAAACAGGTTGGCTCAGTGGATAGAGCGTCAGCCTGTGGACTGGGGGGTCCCAGGTTCGATTCCGGTCAAGGGCATGGACCTCGGTTGCGGGCGCATCCCTGATGGGGGGTGTCCAGGAGGCAGCTGGTCGATGTATCTTTCTCATCGATGTTTCTGGCTCTCTATCCCTCTCCCTCTCTGTGAAAAATCAATAAATATATATATATTTTTTATATATATCAATATATATATTTTCCCTCCTTCTTCCTGGCGGGTTCTTGCTGTGCCATTATTCACGCCCTCTAACCCCTCCGACCACTACCTGGAGTCTGTCTATGATCCTGCCCTTTCCGGATTTACCACCAAGAACTTCCTTGTCAGCAAAACAGGCCCGGACAGGCCTTTTCTTAATTGCAAACCAGTAGTTTCATTGCTAGCTTGACCCAGAGGCCAGATAAGTTTCTATTGAATGAATACAAAACAAAACAAAACGTTTTTACGTGTTGAAATACCCATTGCGTTTTGAAGTTATTAATGACCTGTTCCTACAAGCCAATATCTTTTTCAATTTAAAGTATTAAAAATGCTATGTAGCCGAAACCGGTTTGGCTCAGTGGATAGAGCATCGGCCTGTGGACTGAATGGTCTCAGGTTCAATTCCGGTCAAGGGCATGTAATTTGGTTGCGGATACGTCCCCGGTGGTGGGTGTGCAGGAGGTAGCTGATCGATGATTCTCTCTCCTCGATGTTTCTGACTCTCTATGAATAAAATATATTTTTTAAATATAAAATAAAGTATTAAAAACGCTGTGTAATAGGAAAGCAGGAGAATCCTTGCGATCTGTCCGCCCTGTGTGAAAGGTAGTAGGGGCTGAGCCGCATGGAGTTCACTGTGTGACAGGCATTGTTCTGAGGCCCTCATGGGAAAGGAGCTCCGTTGAACACACAACACCCCGCTGGGGGACTGTTATTCTCTCCGCGTGTTATCGCTATCAGGACACGGACACACGGGAGTTTAATTTGCCCAGCTTCACACTACTGGCAAGTATTGGAACCAAAACTGAGCCCAGGTAGTTGAGCTCCAGACCCATTTCCTCCTGCCCTCCCAGTTTCTTTTCCTTTCTTTTTTTTTTTTTTTTTTTTTAACAACGTTTAAGGAACCATATTTTTTTTAATATACTATTTTTTCATTGATTTCAGAAAGGAAGGGAGAGGGAGAAAGAGAGAAACATCAATGATGAGAGAGAACCATTGAAGAGCTGCCTCCTGCATGCCTCCCACTGTTAACTTAAATCCCTCTATAATTTGAAATTTGATTTTCTTAGAGTAGTGGTGAATAATCATTTTTGCATTATTCAAACCTTTGAGTTCTTTTTAAAAATATATGTGTATTTTTTATTGATTTTAAAGAGGAAGGCAAAGGGGGAGAGAGAGAGAGAGAGAAACATCAATGATGGAAGAGAATCAGCCATCCGCTGCCTCCTGCAGGCCCCCACAGTGGGGGTGGAGCCTGCAACCAGGGCATGTGCCCTAGCTGGGAATCGAACCGTGACCTCCTGGTTCCTAGGTCGATCCTCAACCTCTGAGCCACGCTGGCCAGGCTAGCCATCACTCTCTAAAGCTCCACTAACTTTGTGGTGAATGAAAAGCACCTGACACCTGGCAGACCACAGGCTTTCCCCTGCACAGTTCCTCCTGGCGCTACGTGATGGGCCAATGAACTGAGAGGAGATCCCTCCCTTCCCCCCGTCCTGCTGGTTCCTGTTACTGCTGCTGCTTTCCCGGTGAAGAAGGAAGAGCAGGGCCCTCAGCTTTGGCTCACTTCGTGGAAAAGCCGCTGCATGCGCTCCCAGTACTTCTGGTCCCGTCTCCTTGTGTCCAGGAGACTATTTCTGGGCCGATTCTGGGATCTGTTGGCACTTGTCATCTCCAAGGAGACCTCAGAGGGAGGTGGAGAGCAGCCGTGGGTCTAAGCACTTTTCATGCTATTCTCATTTGTGATTTTTGAATTTTAAAAAATATATATTTCATTGATTTTTTTTTTTTATTTTTTTTTTACAGAGAGGAAAGGAGAGGGATAGAGAGTTAGAAAAATCGATGAGAGAGAAGCATCGATCAGCTGCCTCCTGCACAGCTCCCACTGGAGATGTGCCTGCAACCAAGGTACATGGCCTTGGCTGGAGTTGAACCTGGGACCCTTCAGTCTGCAGGTTGATGCTCTATCCACTGAGCCAAACCGGTTTCGGCCTGATTTTTGAATTTTGAACTATGTGAATATATTACCTCTTGGTTTTTTTTTAATGAAAGAGAATAGAAAAAACGGAAACTCAAATCATCTGTTGAACTGAAAGCTGACATCCCATCCCACCGCCACTTTGTAATCATCTGTGTCAGCTGCATTTGTCCCCTTTTACCTTTGTCTTT